AACACAAACAGCTTTTCTGACATTATTTAAAACATTAGATAGATTATATAAACTGTAAAATATTAAAAATAATTGTGTTAATATTATTATTAATAGTTTTAATGATTTCTACATATTCAGTCCTTTTTTCTGCTCTGTTGTCAGCATGTACAGTAATGGGAAATCCAGAGTCTTGACTGTTTAGTGTTAGCCGTTAGCTTCACCAGCCGATCACACGGTCACCTGGTTTCTGAGCTCCAGCTGTTCTATAGAACCTCCTTGGTCAGAACTCACCATCAGGTCTTTGTTCCTTCGGACTTGTGGACTGGACTTCCTGTTTCTTTGCTTCGGTTTCTTCATTTGAAGCAGCTGCAGAAAGAAAACCTTTGGTTTAACAGTTGTGCCAACATTTATCTGAAAACTGATCAGGTCTCAAGGTTTACTCAGGTCTGGATCAGAGAGCTGCAGGCCCAGGTGGTCCCAGTCCTTCCCCAGTATGTGGTAGAATGCAGTGGTCCTGGCGGCAGCCTCCCAGTCTTCATCTTGCAAACTCTCTTCAATAGCAATCTCACAGACTGTCTTGAGAGTGGTCTTCACAGACAGKGGGGGGCGGCTCCATTCGTATCCTTTGGCCTTTTTGGCAGCAGATAGAACCAGGCTGAGGTGATCCGGAGCCAGAAGGTCCTGCAGGGTCTGGATCCCAGAGTCCAGCGATTTGGCTACCAGCAACAACCGACCGAGCTCTCTGAGCTTCTGGCTCAGGTAGTCATACTTCTGCTGACCAACACCCTGGTTTCCCACCAGCTTCTTCCCATATTTACAGATCAGCCAATCTGATTCCACCTGGTGTTAAACAAGATAAAAGAGGCGGGGTTTAAGACATACCAACCAATCAGATTTCACCTGGTGTAAGAGGTTAAAGACAGAGGTCGAACAATCAGATTTTATGTGGAAAGAACAAGGAAGAGGTGGTGGATAGGGCTGCCATGATTAGTCGACGACTAATCGACCATTGAAAATGGTCAATGACTAATTTAATAATCGATTAGTCTTTTTTTGTTTTTGTTCTTTGTTTTTCTCTCCAAACTGCTTTGACACCTTCCACTGCCACATCTGCCTTTCTGTCCTTGACACACATGTACAGTAGTGGTAACTGGGGGACGTCACAAGACATTATACAGACAGGCTCTGGTATCATGGCTACCTGACAACAGAGCTCAAAGTGTGGCATCATTTTAAGAAAATGAAAGAGAAACCTGTGTAATATCTGCAGAGCAGAACTTACCTTCCACAGCWATTATTTTTAGTTAGCATYTAGCTAAAKTCTAACCATGGTTATATAATAGCAGCTGCATTCTGGCACGATAAGCTGTATGTTTTATCCGAAGAGTCGACTAATCGAAAAAAAAATATTTGTTGGTTAATCGACTATAAAAATAATTGTTTATGGCAGCCCTCGTGGTGGAGTTAGAGATCAAACGTGCACTGCTAGAGAACAAAAAGGTCAGAAGAGCACACATCAGCCCTTTTCCCACTACTGAGTCCGGCTCCACTCGGCTCAGTTCGGAGCGGTTCTACTCGGGTCTAGTTGTTTTTCCACTGTAACTAGGGTCCCCGCTCTGTGGACGGTAACGTCTTTTAAAAGTGGGTGGTATAATTAAACTAGCAGTGCTAAAGCTGCTGTTTATCATTGCTCATTCTGTGCTAAAGCTAACTGTTGACATGAAAAGTCTGATATTTGTGACCCTGCACATCAAAACGAGGATTAAGACCAAAAGTGGAATGTGGAGAAACAGGTAGATATTGGGTTTATATTTAAACGTGCAAAATATTGCATTTTGTCAAAATACAATGAATTAATGAATAATCTGAATGAAGTGTCTGAAATATAATCCTTAAAAAAATTGAAGCATTTTTTAAGCAGTAGCTACAAAAAAAACTGATTTTAAGGAAAAATGCCTTAAAATTTAGAATTTTTCCCTGTGAGCTAGAAATGTTTTCTTTCCAACTGAGAAATCTTAATTTAAAAATACTATTTGAGTTTTCAGCTTTGTATTGACTATAGTACATTAAATCAGGATTCAGACCAAACAGTAATGTATCATCGTAACCAACAAGACAAATTAAGTCATATAAGCTATCAGATAGCTAGTCAGATAAGCTTATGATACAAGAATGATTCAGTCATCATAATGTAGCTTTTAAAGCAAGAAATCTGAAAATCTGATCAGGTTATTTTGACCAAATTTGACTTAATCCTCATTTTGATATGATGGGTCACATTTAGTCTGTAAATAATACTCATACCCTGCTACAGCAAACCGTTGATTATAAATGAACTTAAAAGTTACTGCACACTTTGCCTAGGAGTGTGAGTAAATATGTTGATTTATTCCATATGGATTTAACTCAATGAAAAACAAACAGCAATGCTGACAGTATCTTTATTGCACAAAATAAAAGTCAGACGACATATAACTACATTTTAAAAACCACACAACCACCTAAAAACTACTTTAAAGTCTGAGTGTAACCAGAGCAGCTGCAGGAGCAGCTCTCCTGTTGCTGCCCAGCCTCTGGCTGCTTCGACCTGGATAACGGGACAGCTGGTACCGARAGACGCAGGAGAAGGTGGAGAAACGGTCCAGGAGCTCAGCTGYTCACTTGTTGAAGGTGACTCTGGACAGAAAACCAATGATTAGCCTTAAATACAGTCATAATTAATTACTAATTACAATAAATGTAGAGCTGGGGGTGTTGTTTTTAGCTTGGATTGCTAACTAGCGATAGCCACTAGCTGCTAACTAGTTAGCATTGGAAACGAACATGCACAAAGGACACATTGGAACAAACTATATAAATAAAAGGTACCGTTTGACAAGCGAGACATGTGTCCKATGAATTACATTCAATATTTCACTAAATGCATGAAGCACTCACCGTCTGCAGATGAAGTTTGTGACGAGTCCAGTCTACAGTTAGCAGCAGACAGAACAGTGGCTGCAGAGAGAGGTCCACTGTTTACCCACTGCTTTGAGCCACTCCCACTGTTGTTGTGGTCCTTCACTGCTCTGAAAACTGGCCCAATATAGTTTTAGCTTCTCCCAGTGGGTGAACGGGTGCAGAGTGGGGTGCAGCCGAACTGAACCGTGTAGGTGGAAAAAGGACTATCTACAAACCTGAGGGGCTGAATAGGAAGGAGCACGGCACAGATCTACAAAACTCCTGATACACACACACACAACCTCACAATCGCATCTTTTATCTGCATTCACATCGATAATAATGGCATATTACATAACTGTAGTTGTATTTGTACTGACTGGAGGATTAAAAATACCATCCTTTTAAATTTAACACATACCTGCAAATTCAGAAGGGATGAAAAAGGTGATAAACTTTAGTGCTTGTAGAAGCTTYAAAATCTACTGAAAACTCTGCATTTATCGAAAGCTAACAGCTGAAAATATGGATGGAGGACCTCAGTTTAGCCTGTTAGCTTTAGTGTTAGCCCTGACGCTATCACCATATATATGTATTAGCTCAGC